GTCAAGCCCCTTGAGTTTTTTTTGGCAATTCTCCTTCATATCTCATGTCACATGGAGGCAGGGCTTAAAAGCCTGAATTTTGCCTGAAACTCTCAGACTGAAGAAGTCTCTTGGAGGAGAGACGAAACGTTTCATTAGAGAAGAACCCGTCCAGAAGACCTACACAATTTTTTTCTTTATGTTTATTGGTGCTATATCACCAAGTCACCACAAACATCATCTCAGGGAACTGTACGAAGAAACCCAATCAATTTAACAAAGCCTGAGCAGCACCTTGGAAAGGTAAAACTGCCTATGGTACTTTGGAAGAAACTTCCAGCAGAACCAGAACCAGGTTCAGAAGCGGCGGCCTTTTGCCCCTACCTTGGGAAGCTCTGTTTTAAGCATTATGCTCCAGAGTAAGTTGGGTTTTTATTATGGATACACAGCAAAAATGCCAGTGTTAATTTAACACCCACAGTGTTAATGTCAACACAAACAAAGTGTCTGTGTCCACACTTGCTGGTGTTAAAATAACATTTGTGAAAATGTCAAACTTTAACACCCCTTTTTTGTTAATTTAACACCAACCAGTGTTTAACATTCAACAATACTGGGCGTCACATTTACATTTCAATAGTGTTAAAATAGTGTTAAACATAACACTAGTGTATTATTATAAACAAATGAAATGATGGTGTTTGAAAGGTTAACAGACACTATAAGGTGTTAATACACCATAGATTTGAGAGTGTAAATTTAATACTCAGAGCTAAAATCAAACTGAGTAGAAAAGTATAATGGAGTCACACTTCACACACCAGGACAGACCTCTCACTCATGGTGTCGATTTATGACCAATAACACAAACTTAAACTTGAACAACTTGATCAAACTGAACATGACAACTAACCAGAACAACAAATTTTTACTCTTATGAACTTCTCATAAACATGCAAACACATCATTTCTACAAGATTACCCAGCATTCCTTGCTGAGAAAATACTGGGCTGTGTCCAAAACGACAGGCCGGGTCCTCCGGAGGACCCAGACTTCCCGGTCGCGGCGGGCCGGGTCCTTGGTAGACCGGGAAGACTGGAAAAAAAGAGGCTGTGAATTTGGACGGTCTAGCCTCCCCTCCTTACCCCGGCGTACGTCATGTCACCTAGCAACTGTGACGACGCTAAACAAGCAAACTTAAATCAAAATTAGAAAAATATCAATACATTAGCATTATTAATATCACAAAACTATAAAATTAACTTAAAAGTATCATTTGAAGAAATAATTGACCCGCTGTAGGTGCATGTTTATTTTGCGTTTTTTTATGACAAAAATAGTATTTAAAAACATGTCCATACAAATGATAAAAGTATTAGAATTACAACCGCTAATTTTTTTTTATTTTTATATCACCATATTTTTATTTAAAATGTTTTCTTTTCTCTCGCTTCGTCCGCCATTACTAGCATAAAAAATCTCCGGTCGGGCTGCAATGCATTATGGGATATGCTGGGCCGGGAAGGATCCATCGGACCTGTCCTTCAAATTGAGGAAAAAGAAGGACGTATTTGTCGGCCGCATCGGAGAAGTCTTCGGATTTGGACGTCCTTCGTCGCGGCGTTGTGACGTATGCGGCCGACAAATTYGGCCTTCAGAGGACCCGGCCTGCCGTTTCGGACACAGCCCTGGTCTGTCTGACATGAGGTGGAAGAGGGCGGGGCTTTTCAGAATGCTTCTTTCAACACTGCATGGTATAACAACAATGTTAAGTGTTATATAAGACAACAGTGGGCGGAGCTTATTTAACACTGTCCAGTGTTGAGACAACACTGAGGAAATCAACACTGTGAATTAACACCAACAATGGGTGTCAGTTTACTCAGAAAGTGTTAAAATAACACTAAGGGGTGTTAAATCAACCCCCAAAAGTTTAACACTAAAATTTTAACACTCCACAGAGGTACTTTTTCTGTTTTGTAGCACAGGCTTGTAAATCAGGTCAGTCACCATTTTTTGGATGCTTTGATTGTTTTTGTGGCTTTGTGTGTTCAGCGGCCATCTACCTGAAGAACATGGTGAGTCAGTATTGGCAGGACAGGGAGCCATCCGTGGGTGAGATCATCTTTCCCTTCAACGTTCATGAGAATGACCGGCAGCAGATCAGAGATCACATAGTGGAAGCCATCATCCGTTGTCCAGAATCTATACGGTACGCACATACACTTTCATGTACAATTGTCTTTATTCTAGCATTATGACTATAACAATTACCAGTTGATTCCTAACTTCAACCCCATCACCTCATTCTGACTTGCCTTTGGTCTAGTGCTTTAGSTGGAAAAAAAGTGCCAGCACTCTCCTCAATGTCACAATTATGGGTCAGAAACGTAAAAAGTTTTTTATATCGATCTATAGATCTGGAGTTTTATTGCACAGAAACGACATAGAACAAAGCTAGTTCTAAATCAAATCCACAAGTCAAATTCAAAGTGTCTTGGAGCATATATTACCTAATTACTTTTACWCGGTTAYRTTTACTTGAGTAACKTTTAGGAAAAAATGTACTGTGTATGAAGTAGTTTTACTGTATCATACCTTTTACTTTTACTTGAGTAATTTTACTATGAAGYATCMCTACTCTTAATTGAGTAAAACGTCTGGATACTCTGCAGGCAATACTTCACTACATRAAGAAAAAACATGTTTCAACCAAATATGCACCTGATACAGACACATCTACAATTTGTTAAAATGAGAGTTTTTGTTTGAACCCAAGCTGTGTTGATTTGATGTTAGTTTCTATCTGCTGAGCCTGCTGTAAACACCAAGTTGTCACTGGATGTACTTTACCCTGTTCTAGCATACATATACAGTACATTGCTTCTGAATTAGTTTAATAAAATTTATATAGGGTTATACAAGGGTTAATTTGTTTATTTAATTTTTTCTTTTTAAAAAGGGGCAGATATTGTAGGATTTTTTTCTTCTTTCTGCTGCCTTGCATTTTGTTTTGATATTGTATTTATTGTATGTAAAATTTGAATGTTTTTTAAATAGGAAATTGTTATTTATGTTTATTGTAAAATGAAGAATATTTTCTTTGAATTTGCTTGTTTGTAAAAAGGGGGCAGAGACTATAAGATTCTTTCTTCTTCTGCTACCTTTCATTTAGTTTAATTTGTGATTTGTGTTTTGTTGTATGTTGAATTTGTGTTGTTTTTAAAAGAATAAACTTTAAACTAAACTAAGTGCTTATTTTGCCTTAATTTGTTAGTTTGTAGTAATATTATTTGTTGGTATTTTTTTAAATTTTAGTTTTTAAAATACCAAACTTGAACAGAACTTTATTCTTTTTGTCTGTCTGATGACAATCATTTTCAAATATAAAATCAAATGTTCTGGTCAGCCAGTTCTTGGGTAGCCTTTTTACCAAATACTTTTTTACTCTTGAGTAATTTCTTGGAGGGATACATTGTACTTTTACTTGAGAATAAATATGTTGAAGTAGTACTATTCGTATTGAGTAATCTACCCACTTRTGCTTGTGGGTAAATCATGCTTCATCATAGTTTCGGACAATTCGTTCTTTCCTTGATGTCTATTTTCATAGTTTATTGTTGTGTTCCCCTTCATGGATATTTTTTCCTATCATGTTCTACTGTGATKTTATTTCTGTTCAAATCTTGACATTTGCTGTTTATCTCCTGAATTAATKTTTGCTCAGTAGGTCTTGCCATACTAGTTTGTTCATTTGTAGGCTATTTTTAGGCTGTTTTTATTGTATTCATGCTTACCAGTAATTCCATTCACCAGTGATGTGATCATCCTCATGTGTTTCAGTTGATCTGCCACACAAACGTTTGATTTTATTTTTACTGTTTAGCACTAGATTCCCTGTTTTCATGTTTTTTTTTGTTTTGTTTTGTTTTGTTGTCTTTGTTCCGTTCTGGGCATGATAGCATTGTTATTGCAAATGATGTATCGGGTTGTTGTGAGAATAGCTGTGTTGTAGATATGCTAGTGGAAAAGGGTCATTGGCAGTGGCGGGCAGTGCTAATTTGCAATGTTAGTTGCACATATTCTAAAGTGATTGTAAAATTATTTAGGTACGCAAGATCTGAAGCAGATAAGTCCAAGTAAATTTAGCAGAAGCTAAATCTAAAGAGCTAATTTGCCCCAGACTTTAACAGAATATATTCCAGTAATAACATGAGCCATTCTYGTTCAACACTGCCAAATAGAGGCATGACCACTTGCTTTCAAAGAATGGCACAAGACGTTGCGGTTTGGGGAGGTGATTTGTTGAAACAGCCTTTTGGTTCATGGTGTTTAATGAACAGTTGTTGTGGATTTCTAGTTCAGCTGCTTCTTGGTTATTTTTCTTATGTTTATGGTAGGGCTTMAGTAAGAAAGCATGCAATRTTTTAGTCGTTTTAAATTGTTTATTGTAGGACTGAAGCRATGCATTCTTGGTACAGGACGGAGAATAGGAAACTCTCTTCACTTAAAAATAAGAGCATGAATTTAAATTGCATATGTGTGTGTATCTTCAATACAATGTGAGACAACGGGTTGGTGGTTGAAGATGCAGCGGGCCTTAAATCATTATAATTCATCTCTCTACCCTCCCAAAGCTCATATATGTACAGTATATAAACAACAATAATGGTGGCTGGATATTGATTGTTTTTCACTCAAAGATCAGTGCTATTGAGTGAAGAGTTCGCAGAGGGAAAAAGTTCTTTTTTTGTTAAAGGTGATGATGGAATAAAGACRTCATGTGAGCATCAGCTCACATTTAATCAAACCAGCTGCTGTTCTGGCTCTTAATAACTGGCTTCAGACAAAAAAATAATTATTTTAAACAAAACATGATGAGCTGCTCTGGACATCTCCTCAGTGCTTCTCATGAACAACCACACCCACAAAGTGTTTCTCATTGTGTGTGTGTGATTACTGGCAGATGTCTAATGTGCTGCTGTGTTTAAAAAAAGCTGTTGTGGTTTTACTGTTTGTCCTGTAATGTCTTTTTTAATTAATTAAGTATTTTAGGCTAAGCCGTCTTGTATATCTGTGTATAAATTGCTTTAAACACTGTTGAATATGTCCAGCTCCAAATAAATATTTATTGTTTTATATTCCTGTTTTTTTAGTGCCCAGCTGACTATGTGCCTGAGAGCCATAATCAAGCATGACTTTCCAGGACGCTGGACTGCCATTGTAGACAAGATTGGCTTGTATTTACAGTCTCAGAACAGTGGGAGCTGGTATGGCAGCTTGCTGGCTCTCTATCAGCTGGTCAAAACATATGAGTGAGTAATCCCGCTTGTGCGCTGTTCTCTTTCTCAGAACTTTCTTTTTGAATGGCTGTGCTTTTAAGAATGGTCAGTATTTAACTCCTGCCACAGGCGCGATTAAAACATGGTCAAAACTTAAATAAAGTCACTGGTACGTCTCTGTGTTTATGTGTTTAAGGTACAGAAAGGCAGACGAGAGGGAGCCWATGCTGGCAGCAATGCAGATTTTCCTTCCAAGGATTCAACAGCTCATCAGTCAGCTGCTGGCTGATGCCACCATCTTCTCAGTCCTGATCCAGAAACAAATACTGAAAATTTTTTATGCTCTTGTACAGGTGTGTGTTTTTGTGTACCTGTTTTTTGTTACTATTTAGCACCTTTTTTTTTTGCATAAACACAGCCCCGTCCTACTCCTGTGGAATACCATGGGTGGTTAGGTTTAMGGTAAAGGTCAGGGTTAGGCTACAGAAATGAATGGAAATCAATACACGGTCCTAATAAGCCTAGTAATACAAACTAGAGAGAGAAAACTGTAAAGAACTTTGAGTGCAGGTCAAAACTGAAGGATATAGGAATTGTATTGTGAGCAAAATGTCAATAAATGTGAATTTGTTAATCTTGTAGGTAACAAAATTAAAACAAATATGATTATTTCCAGAAGTTTTATTATACATAAGATTTATAGTAATGGTGAAATGCAAGTAATCTGTGTTCAGTTCAGTAAGTTTTATGCATGAAGAAAAAAATATTTAAAACCTCAGTTGTTAAAACGAGATAAAAATTGTCAAACGAAGAACAACACAACATCTTACGGTGTGTTTATTTGTTTTTAATCAACTAAGGCCCGCGGCAAGATTTTAAAACAGTCGGCCAATTTTCAAAGCCTGAGAGACGCCACACGTGAGGATAATAAAATCATGGATATACCAGGTTTGGTCCTACAGTGTGTGGTGTACAGCCACACCACAAGAGACAACACACCACACGCAAAAATATATTTAATTTATGTACATTCATGTATCAGTCTGAAATCAGACTGATAAAAAAGGATACAGATACTTTTGAAAAAGATACAGTCTGAAATCACGCGAGACTTCTTGAAATCTTGTGAGAATTCAGATGTCAGAGACAAAATCTTGCGTGACCTCCAGAGAGACGTGAGCTTTGAGTAAATAAATATTTGAGACAAGAAAGAAGCAACGTTGATCATTTGTGGACTATTTTTACCAGAAAAAAAGAATTCAAAATGAGTTTTAATGTCCAGCGCACTTTCTGGTGAGTCATGACAGGTTTTTATGTCTTCTGTACTTTGGATACTCCAATATGTTTACGTTACCTTGCTTTCTGATTGGCTGCACTTCACATTCAACAGGCTGCGAGCTCGGGTGAACACTACACAGACTGTGATATCAGGCCAAAAAAATCAAACATGTTGAATATCCCCGATTTGAGGTTTGTTGTGGTCTCGACGTCCGTCCAAGCCGACTAGATCACAATTAACTCAACACCCACGGCAGGAACATCTGCTAAGATTATCTTTAGAGCCATCATGATAATCTGAACTTCCTTTCTTCTACAAGCTGCTGGGTTGGGTCTGGAATCAGTATTTCAGACACTTTCCTTCCATTTTGTCTTCATGTTTTTTAGAATAAATGATGACATGATGGAATCTAGAATCTGTGACTTTGTTCACTTGAGATTAGATTTAACGTAGAACCTGGTAAAGACCATGTAAGTGTTCCAATGTTGTGATACTTTAGAGCTGAAAGACGCCGACTTTGTTTTTCCCCATGACTGTAACTGTTAAAAATTTTCTTTACTTCATTTTAATTTCAATGCCTTAACTGGATCAGATGATTTTTTGAGCACTTTGCAAACAAAAAGTGTGCAAATGTTTTCTCATGACAATATAAGAATTTTAAAAGTTCAACTCCTTTTGTAATCAGTAATGTACTTAAAAACACCTAGAAATTAGCTTTTCAACTACAGTCTTAAAGGTGGACAAATCAAATAAACCAGGCAGTCCAATCCAACCCAAGATGTTCTCACCGACTTAAAAAAAACTACAATTTTAAATAAACTTTTAACCATTACAATTTCAGAATAAGCTTGTTTTGATGAATATACAATAATATTTGTGAAAATTATTAATTATATTAAAGTGTCTTTAAAATGTATTTTTATTGTATAGTTTCACTGTAGAAATAGGAAATGTCAAAAAAATTAATTAAATAGTGGTAATTTAAAAACAAACAAAAATAATTAGAAAGTTGTGTTAAAGAATGCAGATTGTAATGCTAACCATGATGCTGTCCTGCAGTATTCCCTGCCTCTCCAGCTGATCAACAATGCCGTGATGACTCAGTGGATGGAAATCTTGCGATCCATTATGGACCGGGATGTCCCTGCTGTAAGACACTCTGCTTTATGTTTTCATTTACTGAACAAACTATATAAGTACATTACATTTGCTATTTTCCCTCACATTCTTTGACTAAAAGGTTTATAATAACGATGAAAGAATTTTCATTTCTTCTCAGAAAGCAGATCATTTTTTCTTCCGTACATTTTTCGGCATATAACTCGTTCCACAATTTTTGCGCTATTTCAACAATTCATATATCAAAATGTTCAGCCCATTCATGTTAGGGTTTGGTATTTCAGCTATTTATACTTTTTTAGCTATTTCACTTTATTTAGCCACTGTTTTGCCATTGAAAATGAATGGAGCTGTTTTCAACATCCTTAAAGTGTATCTTACCCCCTGTGAAAAGATAACTCCGCCTCAAGGCGACATTTGAAAAATGCATCAAAGTGGGTAGGGGAGGGGGTGTGGGTAGGGGAGGGGGGTTAGAGAGCGGAGGTGTGGCCAGGACGAGAGAACGTGACGGCCTCAGCTGAGCTGTCCGCCTCACACCACACCAGCCTCGGACAGAGGAGTGGAGCGCTCCGCGACAGCCTGACAGAAAAAAATAAAAGCAAACAGCTGCAGCTGCTCACAAGATCGCTAGTTTAAATCAGGAATAAAAGTGTTTGGTCTTGTTTGACTGAAGTTCGGTCCGTTAGGGCTGCAGCTGCCCCGCTGTTTCCGTCACCATGGAGAGCCGTTAACC